TGCTGACAAAATGAGTTACTTCTCAGATTCAAGCCTTAAGGAAATAGATACATCACGCTTATAGGTGAAGTTTTTACAATTTACAAACTTATGAATTAATAAAAGACAGGTCATACTTAAATAATATGGCATCAATAGAAAATCTGCAAATTTCACACTAAAGTTGATTTTTGGCCAATATCTCCATGTGTGAATAGCGAGAAGAAACTCATTTTGTCAGCACACCTCACATATTATGAACGTTGATGAGATGTCATCGAATCGCGGCCTGTCGCGTGGGGTTAGGGGACCAACGATGGTGTTTTGAAAGAAAACAAAAAGCTCAGCAAGACACTACATGTGCATGATCTATTAGGCTTGCACATTGGGAGGGTAGATAATGGGTGGGGGGGTGGAGTGGTTTAGTTTTACAAGAGGTTTTACAGCGCTCCCAACTGCCTAAGGTCATATGAGCACCAGAAGATTAGAGGTGTTACAAGAGAGTAACAAACATTAAAAAGAAGGAGGGGAGATATGGACGATAGATGTTCGATAGGAGAGAAGAAGCAAACCACACGAGAGCACCCGTTAATCACCCACAGGGTGGAACGGGGAATGGCAGGGACCAATGAAATGAGTGACGGTGATGAGTAGGCCTACTATGAGACATGCAGGCCATGAGTTCGCCTCTCTTTATTATCTCCCTTATCCCCCTCCCCTCATGTCATAGTCGCCTCCCATCCTTGGAGCAATGTTTCATCACCGACCACCCATGCCGTGCAAGCCGCGGCCGAGGTACAGAAACAGGCAGACCCACACTGAGCTGAACATCACAGGATGAATAGATCTTGAGCTGTGTGAATACGGAATACTGTTTCTTAGTTTTAGTTGAGGTTTTACGGCGCTTGCAACTGCATAAGGTCATATGAGCGCCAGAAGATTAGAGGTGTTACAAGAGAGTAACAAACACAAAAAAGAAAAATGAGAGATAAGGACGATAGATGTTTGATAGGAAAGAAGGAGCAAGCCACACCAGAGCACCCACCAACCACCCACAGGGAATATTGAATGAGAATGCTGCTGATGATTCTCATATAAATATGTATAAGAAAAACTATTCGCACACGAAATTCGAATAGCATGAATAGTGACCTCGCGCTTTGAAGCTTCGCTGAAGTTGGCTTCCCCTCAAAATCACACGGCACTGCCAGTTGCACCCCCCCCCCCTTCCACGAAACAAATACACGCACAGATGGTATTACCTAATTTACTTACTTTGAGCAGCGGGAAATCATTCATCAATGTTGTCACCATTCCAGCATACGGTAGATACCTGGAAGTACAAGAGATTCAAGAAGTTGTATGTGTGTATGTATGTGTGTGTGTGTATGTGTGTATGTATGTGTATGTATGTGTGTGTGTGTATGTGTGTATGTATGTGTATGTATGTGTGTGTGTGTATGTGTGTGTATGTATGTGTGTGTGTGTATGTGTGTGTATGTATGTGTGTGTATGTATGTGTGTGTATGTATGTATGTGTATGTATGTGTGTATGTATGTGTATGTATGTGTGTATGTATGTGTGTGTAT